TGATTGCTAAGGAAGGGGAAGTTGGCATGCCCATCAATTTGGTTCCTTGGAAACCTCTGGTTCCACCTATTAATGATTTGGAGAAGGTCGGTTGTGTTAATCTGGGTTTGGATTATCCTGGGCATGATGTGATTCAGCGTAATGTTAATATGGAAGCTTATCAATTAGCTTTAATCCCTATCGTTTGGCTCCTCAAGCTGATTCGCATGTGGTTGTTGATAAGGATTATTGCCTTACCAACATGGTGTTGTTGAATGAATCCTTGGTTGGAATTAATGTTTTTTCTCCTTTGCTAATTACATATGAACCTGCTCTGTCGCCTGTGCATATGCATCCGAATGGAGTGCCTTTTATTGATGTCACAGTCTCCCTTATCTCCAATGATGAATTGAAAACTCAACTCTCGATAAAGATGATGGACCTCTTGGAACAAATCGACCGGTTGGAGGGGTCTACCTTCTCGTTTGGGGATGCTCGTGATGACCCTAGGGAAGATTTTAATGCTATGGCTGATTTGGAGGTTGGTCATTCCGTTTATTTTGCTTTTTCACATGGATTTGCAAACGTGGTACAATGAAATCTAAAAGAAAGTAATGTTCATGAGTCTTTTCTCTTTGTTGTTTTGGATTTGATTGTTTGGTTTTGTGGGCATGTTGTATTATTTTAAGAGTTTTTTTGTTGGATTTTGTTGGTTTTGTTTCTGTGGGAATATAGTTGCCTTGGGTGTGTCTGTTGCCTGCTGCTTTCGTGCTGATGATTTTTTGTGGATGACTTTGTTAAGGGTGCCGATTCTCTAGTTGCTTCTAGACAATGATGATGCTGCCTTTTGCGAGAGAGAGAGAGAGAGAGAGAGAGAGTAGACTTAAGATTTATGATTTAAAGTTTTAATTTGAATTAGTTCATAGAAATTACGTTAATTCCTACTAAATTCTACGCAAATTGTGCTAACAAACAACACTAAGGGGTTAGGAAATGACTTCTACTAGGATAACAACCCCTATTGATTCATAGTAGTAGCCACTATTGAATGATACCTGCCAGCTATATTAACGAGCAAAATTATCAGACAATTTGTTAGCTACCCAAAGAAGTTCACCTAAGCTTATTAATAAGCAATTTATCAAGCTTAAAAATAAATATCTAAATGATTATGCTTCAAACCGGACAAGAATGTCAACAATAATATATACATAACTAATGTTAATTAATAAATTTCAACCTAATTGAAAAAAGTGTTGAATAAATTTTTATTATAACATAAGCAAAGTTTTTTGTCAAGTCTTATATAAACATCTTATTAAGCCATACATTAATTTATTATTGAGCATTATTCAAGGCTCTTAAAGAAAGTTTAATCATAAGCTTTATAAGATACTGCTTACAAACATAAATGAATCAAGCATATTTGATTAACAATCGTGAGGTTATATAAAATATATAAATTTATTTTATATGTCAATCAAATGGCTATGAACGAATTTTAATCGAGCCAAGCTATGCTTAACTAGTTATGCGTCATTAAGCATTTGTAGTCCTACTAAATAGTGTCGTCTCTTTTAGAGGCAAAATTTTATGGCAACCATAAGAAAAATAAACTGAATTTAGGTTTATAAAAAAAAACGCTCGGAATAAAGTTGAAAATAATAGACGTGCAGTGTACACCCAAATATCTAAAAATTCATGTTCAAGGCAAGTCGACCAGGTTCAAGCCAAGTTAACTCGGTTTGGTAGGATTCAACTGAAGAGGGAATCACTAGTCTACAAATGAACTCAACTCAAGTTGGTGATTACAATCTAAGAAGGCCTTGGTTGACCCTAGTAAGTATGATCTATAGAGTCGGCTCTAATGACAACACATGGGAGATGATTTCCTGCTAATTTTCAACCTCTCTTATAAAAATTTGCTTGTTTTTTAGATGGTTGAAAAGCTAAGTTGTTAGCTTTCACTGGCTGCATCTAATATCTTTAGTTTACCATATGCAAAACTAGCTTATTAGATTAGAAAAGCAATTTTGATTAAGGCCTGTTGAAAGTTTATTGACAAGGTTTGTTCAAGATTCCTCTTTCATTAGGATATTAATACAAAAAAATTCATATAACATAAGAATTCTGCAGTTATATTCTATTATTTTACTTGGATGATAATTTTGGAAGGTCTTAAAACTACTTATATCCTTGTTAAATGCAATATTCAAGTGACATATTCCTTCATCCTCTAACATAACACTAACGAAAGTCACAATCACTTATTCTTTGTGTGTGACTTTTCTTTTAGTACGATTTTTGCTTTAATTCCTCAAATGTGCTCCTTTTTATTTATGCATATTTTGTTGAAATTTTATTTTAACATATTTTGTATGTCTAAAAACTCTGCTTTAATCAAAAGACACTTTTACTTTATTTTTTGCTGCCCCATTTTTATGAAGAGAGAGAAATGATAGAAACTTTCAAAATGCTATTTGTAGTTCCTCTACTATTTTCTTTTAAATTAGAAAGGCTATTCATTATAAAGTTGGCTCCTAGAAAAATGTAGGAGAAATTATACATATGATCATTTTTCTAGAATATAAATGCTAGCTATTGTTTTCTTGATTAGTTTGGCTGTAGTTTTCATATTTTCTCTTGTTAGGTTCATGAGCTATGCATTTTTTTTTTCGCGACATCTTTCTCTGCTTTGAACATTGGCTAGTCATTATTTTTGATGGAAAAGATGCTTTTTGGGGATGATGATGAATACCATTCATGCTTCAGACAGTCCCCTCGGAAGCTGAAACTGACAACCAGTTTATCTATTCTAGGATGGCCCGTGTTGCAATCAGGGTACATTACAGAACCTCTCATCATATAATCTTTGATTTTTTTTTTTTTGGAAAATTTTGGGGCAGAGCCCATATCATTGTGTAATCTTGGATTTGGAGATGCCCTATCTTTTATATATATATTTGTTTTTCTCTTTTTTGTGTTGTGGATATTTTTTCTTCTCTTTCATTATTTTTTACTTTTGTATTATTGGAGCTATAATTTTATTTTTCGGTTTTAATTTTTCATAAGGTGGGACATGCCCTTATTATTCCTGAAAACAACTATATATACAAATAAAATTTTTCTCTTGAATTTTTTTTTTCTTTTACATTTAAGCTTTGAGAATGGATATGAACACTAAATGTTAATTTATTATTTAAATATAAAATTTTTTATGTAAGTTAGAATTAAAAATTATAAAATTTAAAAGAAACATTATTATGATATTAACGACAAGTTTTCACATGGTTGTATAGTCGTTAACTCATTATTCTTATATCTGTAACGAAAAATAATGGTGATGGTCTGCTACCATAAATAGATTCGTTAATTTTTAATTCTATTGAGATAGACAGGTGTGCGTTGGCATGTATGGGTAGGCTTGTGCACAGGCACAGTTATGCGTTAACACGCAGGTAGGCCTGCTGGTGTGTGCCTATGTGGCAGACTTGCAGAGCGTGGAACATGCTACAATAGTCGTGCATTAAAGTGCTCCGGTCTCAGGTCTAAGCACTTAAGCAGACCCATCCATGATTAACTTGGTTGTTGAACAAGTGCGGTTGAAAACTCTTAAATATGTGTTCGATTCTTTCAGGTGGCAGCGCCCCTATATGGAGGACCTAATAAGTGTTTGCCATGAATAGCAAGTGTGTGGGTCACTCGTCTAAGTCAGCCGATGAGAGTAGATGGCATCGCCAAGCGCATCACTACTTGACGTTTCAATGGGCCGATACTCCCCTTTCAAAAAAAAAAAGGCCCTTAAGCAGACATGCATGTTGGTATTTGTTAGCGCTGTTTTATTAATTTTTTTTTGTTTTATTTTTTTTAAAGAATTGAGGCCTTAACATATTTTTATTTCATAATAAAATAATTACAAAAAGTTGATCTAATAATGAAGATAAAAAATAAGAAACCACATGCGAATGAAAGCATAAGGACTATAAAGACAAAAGAACATAATAAAAAAAGTTCTCAAAATGTCCAATTAATCACTCATATTTTATGAGATATGTTCTTGGAGGAAGAAGTTTATGCATATGTTTGCCACAAGTACCCTCCAGGATGTGTACAAATTAGTTGTCTGCGACAGGGTGCAAGGTAAATCACCACTTTTTTGGCAGATATTAAAATCATATCTAATTTTAATAAATATTTTATAAGTTTGATATATCAAAATACTCTAGATTTATAAATCAATTGGAAATGTGCAAAAGTGGCTTTAAGGAAGGCTATTTAAAAGGGCAATGATTTTTTTTTTTTTGGAAAATTTAAGCTTGGCATGTATATTAAAATAAAAAAAAGTTACAAGTAATGCCAAAGTCTCCACAGAAAAAATAGAGAGACAAACAAAATAACTCAGAAATCAGCCAAAAAGACAAAAACAACACACGGAGGCCCTTATAGAACATGAGCCAGGACTCAGTCAACAAAGATAGTCATCATGAGAGATCAAAATACAATGCCCTGGTTGCCTGAAGACCATCCAAAGGTATAGTCACAAAAGCGAATATCATCGTCCCAGGCACCTCTGACCAAAACGAAGAGACTGAAGCAGACATTGAGCACCATAGAAGTAGCAGCAGTGTTACAGCAAATCCAACAGTTTTGCCCCATTTTCCACTTGATAACTTTAGCAAAAATATTTTCCTTAATCTTGAGTGAAATAGTGACAGAGTTGCTGGCGTTCGAACCAAAACGACTATCTTTTCTCTCCCGCCAGATATAATAAATGGTGCAACAGATAATCAAGTAATAAAACCTTTTCACAATAGAAGTAAATGAAGCTTGTTCAGTAATCCAATCCAACAACTTTAGGGCATTAGGGCATCTCCAACCGAACGCCAAACGAGCGTTTGGCGTCATTCCTTCGCTCCAGCAGAACGCCAAAAAATCCTCCATTTGCTTGCGGGTGAACAGTGCAACGCCAATATTGGCGTTGCATTGTTCACCCACGCCATTTTTCTCTGTCAACCGGAAAAATGCGGGAAAGGAGAAGGGTCGGTACCTTGGCGCAGAAGCAAAAAAATGGCGTTGGATTGGAGCAGCACCACGCCATTTTTGCTTTTTGCGGTATTTTGACGTGAAAAATAGAGTTCTCGGTTGGAGATGACCTTAGGCCTCAAATAGAAAAATTCAAGCCCAGGGATTAATCTCGAAATGATAGAAAATGAGAAGTTGCAGTCAAAAATAGATTATAGGAGCTGTCAGAACCAGTATGGCATAGGGGGCATTTAGAATCAATAAAAATATTTCGTCTACAATGAATATCAGCTGTTTTTAAACCATCATTAGGACACAGTCAAGCAAACACAGTAAACCTTGAGCCAAACCTTTATGCCAAATGAAATCAACCCATGGGCAAACCATAATATCCGTGTAAAACTTCTTGACAAAAACACCAAAGCAACCCTTATCCGCATTATCCCAGATCAAACAGTGATCAGTGTTACCATGGATGGAAACATAATTAATGGCATTTTAAAACAACATGGTCCAAATTATGGGGCAAATTCCACTCATCCCCCGTAATGTAATCACCAACCTTAGCATTTATGTTGCCACAAATATGGTGGTGTAACCAATCAACACCACTCCAGTGATCCCAAAAGAAAGCAATTGGGGCAGTAGAATTAATCTTAAATTTAAAGTGGTGCTTAGCAGCAGCCGCAGTTAAGCAAATGGATTTCCAAAAAGGCGTAATATACCCATTGATAGGACTCCAAGGTGAGATATACCTAAAGAGGAGCCATTTGGAAAGAGGGGATGTATTATTATACATCCTACTAATAACAGAGCAGTTGAATTCGAATTGAATAGCCTGTAGAGACACTATAGGAAAATCACTCATTACCGACAATCTGGACCGGTGGTTTGTTGGCGGTTTACAAACTGCTGGAAAAAACGGCATCGGAAACCTTTACCGACGGTTTTTTTTTTTTGCGGTTTCCTTCACCGACGGTTTACCGGCAGTTTATACCGTCGATTATGTTCCGGTAGTCTAAGTACCGTTGACCACAAACTTTTTTACCAGTGGTGTACCGGCCGTCGAACGGCTGATATAAAAATCAACATTATTATAATGTAGACCGCCGGTAAGAAAATCGGCGGCTTACCGACAATTCAAACTGAAGGAATTTCCGGCGGTTAGACCGGCGGTGTACCGCCGGTTAACCGTCGGACACCGTCGACAAACCGCCGGTAAATACTGGCAGTTGCAGTAGATTTCCGACGGCGTCAATTAGTAGTGCGGTATCGAAGTTTTCATAGGCCAAACCACCGATTGGTTGCCAAAAATCTTAAACACCAGCGGTTTGATCTGCTGGTTTTGCACCGGTAAGATTTAACGCCGGCAGTTTAACCGGTGGTGTCTGGACCGCCACTATTACCAATGACTATATTTAACATAACAGCCGATTCAACCACTGGTAAAAACCAGCGGTCACACCGCCGGGTAAACTGCCATTAATACCGGCGGCTGGAGAACCGGCAGTCTAGACCGTTGGTAATTGATGAATTTTCTATAGTGAGAGTACAAGCCCAGCCGCCGGTATTAATCGAAGGCATAAAATCCGCTATCTTCAACTTCTTAAAGGAGATAAGCAAACCCAAATATGAAATTTTACTGCTAACATTGAAAATAGATAAAGCAGAGCAAACAACAACATTGTTATTCTCATGATTAGGGAGAACAACAGAGCTTTTCTCAAGGTTAACAAATAACCTAGAGGCATTAGCAAATACAATGATTTTGAAATATCGGTACACACAAAATAATTAAAGTGTGTAATTATAATTATTTTATAATAAAGAGAACACCCTTTTAATTTATTGCAATTATTATATGTTGTAGTATAAATTTTGACTAAATATTTAATTTATAAAATAAATCAAATTGAGAAAAGTAAACTGAATGGTTATGTTATTATATACCCATTAAACTCTCTTATTATTTCACTTCAATTTTAAATATAGTATCATGTTTATTTATTTATTACAATTTGAGTGTATATTATATGCCAAATTGATAATAATTTAAATATTATTGTTTACAATGTAATATGAATATATATATATATATATATAATA